ACCATCTGAACACCACCCGAAGCCCCCGGGACCTCAACCAAACATACCAAAAAGTCCTAAAACATGATATAAACTTAGTCGATGCCTCAGATTACATTCAACAACAATAAAAACTTTAATCGTACTTCAATTCAAGCCTAATGAAAAACTAGCGAAATCCAACTTCTACGATCGATGCCGAAACCTAACAAATCAATTCCGATCAACCTCAAATTTTGCACACAAGTCATAAATGACATTACAGACCTATTAAAATTTTTGGAACCAAAATTTGAGCCCCATAACCACAAAGTCAACTCTCGATCAAACTTCTAAATTTCAAAAACTTGTAATTTTCCAACTTTCGCAGTATTAAGCCAAATTCTACTACGGACTTCCAAATAATTATCCGGACACACTCCTAAGTCCAAAATCACCATATGGAGCTACTGGAACCATCATTCTATTCCGGAGTTGTTTACACATAAGTCATCATCCGGTCAATAATTTCAACTTAAGCTTTTAATCTTGGAACTAAGTGTCCCAATTCATTCAGAAATATCCTCGACAAGTCAGATAATCACAATTGAGCATAAAATAAGCAGTAAATGGGGGGAGCAGGGATGTGATACTCAAAACGACCGGCTGGGTCGTTATATCTAGCCACTAAGAAGATCCACATTTTCAGAGATGTAGTCTTTAATGAGTTCATTTTTCCCTTTGAAGGTAGCATGAATGCATCTTCTCAACCTTATGTTCCTCATTTAGTACCCTTCATTGAGTCCTCACATGAACAATCTTCTAGTGACACAAACATTGCACAACACTTGTTTGATGTCCTGATTGATCAAAGGACTTCTGATATCACAAACAACTCTATGTCACCTACACCTGTTGTTTCCCCATCACCTTCTACAGTACCTATGTCTCCATTGCCTTATTCACCACAACATTATACTGAACAATCCTCTGCAGAACCTTTACAATTGAGACAATCTTAAAGAACATATAGCCACCTGGTTATTTACAAGATTATGTACATTCTCTTCCCAACCTTAAACAAAATTGTGTTTCCCTTAATGCGTTGGTTTCTATGAATCACCACATTGCCTCTGATCTACTAACTCCTAATAGTCAGGTTCTTGTGAGAAATATTTGTCATGACAGGGAACCATCATCATCTGAGGGGGCAGCTATTGTCCCTGCATGGCAAGTTGCAATGACACAAGAGTTTGAAGCATTACATTCCAATCAGACCTGGGACCTAGTTCCATTGCCACCTGGGAAGCAGGCAATAGGTTGCAAATGGGTCTACAAGGTGAAGCATAAGGCTGATGGCAGCATTGAAAGGTTTAAAGCTAGATTGGTTATCAAAGGTTACACTCAGCAGGTAGGAATTGATTACATAGAAACTTTTTCACCAGTGGTGAAGATGACAACAGTGAGAGCATTGATGGCCATTGCGGTTAAGAAAGGTTATGCCATATCTCAGCAAGATATGAACAATGCTTTCCTTCATGTGGATCTTCATAAGGAAGTGTATATGCAAGTCCCACCTGGACTTGTTGTGGATAAACCAGGACTGGTCTGTAAGCTAAATAAGTCTCTCTATGGTTTAAATCAAGCTATTCGACAGTGGAATGCAAAGTTGACTGAAGCATTGTGTTCAAAAGGTTATACACATTCCATTAATGACTACTCACTCTTTTACAAAAGGAATGGAGAGTCCTCAGTATATATTGCAGTATATGTGGATGATGTGATGCTCACTAGGACTGACCAGGAGGAAATTGCATAACTCAAAGCCTTTCTACATGAATAATTTAAGATCAAAGACCTGGGCCAATTGCATTATTTTTTAGGGTTAGAAGTCATGAACAATGATGACGGTGCCATTATATCCCAAAGGAAGTTTGTGCTGGACTTGCTGAAAGAATACAATTGCTTGGATCATAGTTCTTGTTCCTCAACATTATATCCCGCTATAAATCTATAGGTCAGGGAAGGCACCATTCTGCAGGATCCTGATTATTATAAAAAGATGGTGGGTAAGCTGAATTTCCTAACTAATACTAGGTTGGATATTTCATACAGTGTTCAGCACTTGAGCCAGTTCATGCAAGAGCCCAGAGAGCCTCATTTGAAGACAGCATTTCACCTACTCAAATACCTAAAAAATGATCCTACTCTAGGGATTTTCATGTCAAAAGATGCAGATCACATAGTTAGAGCCTATTGTGACTCTGACTGGGCAGCCTACCCAGACTCTAGGAGATCTATTACAGGTTATGTGGTCCTTCTAGGCAATAGACCCATCAGTTGGAAGTCTAACAAATAAGAGACTATATCTTTGTCCTCAGCAGAAGCAGAGTATAGGGCCCTGAGGAAAGTAGTGGGGGAATTGGTATGGTTGAGCAGATTATATGAAGAGCTGACTGTCCTTTTTTCTATGCCCATCTCAGTATTCTGTGACAGCCAGTCT